CGGTGAAGAGCCAGGCCTTAGGGACAGGAGCCTCGCAGGTGTGAGGGCACGTTGTACGTGTTGACTGACGGCGAAGTGAGGTCCCCCGTCCTTTCTCCCGCCCAGGCCTGCGTGCCTGCCCCCCGGCCGTGTGTCTGCGGTGTGAGGGGGGTCTGCCGGCTGTGCTGCTCCTCCAGGGAACACGGGCTTGCGTGCGTCATGGATTAAGTTTTGCAATTTATAAACGCGTGCCCTTATACTCCTGCGTGTCTTTGCTAATCTCGTCAGCGCTCCTCTTGAAGAGTTGGTCTTCAGCAAAAATAAACACAAACTCAGTCGTTATACTGAAACGTGGTCTTAATTTAGCTTAGGAAAACCTTGGGTAAAACGCCAGAAGTGGGCAGAGGGGTGTTTCTTACATAAGTAGTTACGCAGTGATTCGGTGGGTGTCAGCTGGATTGACGTGCAAACGACAGCGATGTGTTGACAGGTTATTCTGGTGCTGTACAGTACTGGCAATGCACAAATCCACAGAATATTTGACAAAGAATCACTTATTCAGTATGTTTTAGCACACCCAACAAATAATAACTGAAATATTTGCAGTCATTAATAAACTAACCTTCAGCATAGTTAAGTGCTGTAATTAAGTTTAAATTGTATTTTACAGATTTTACTTACTGTCTTCAATTGTCTCCATAAATGTAGAATTTGGATGCTGTTCGGACTTCCAGCTATTCAGTGACCTTGAATTTGAACGTAGTGATAGCTTAAATAAATGGGCCTCTCCGAGGTGTGGGATACAGCTGCTATCAATGTACAGAAACGAGCATAGTCTTCTTGCAAATTAGAAGACAGCTTGGATGTATCGTTTGTTACTTGGATGGCAGCATGGTTACCTACTTGCAGTTGAATAATCTTACTCGGACTAGACTAATATTAGATACCCTGATGCAAGTCTGCAGGACGGTTAGGTGTAGATGGGTGAAGTGACTTGTCAGAGGTCATTCAAGAAGTCTGAGGCAGAGCTGCTGGTTACACAACCCTTGGTGCCCACTGCTTTTTCTGCTATGTGAAGAGGAGCTTAGTAGTTTGCTTTATTAATTTTTTCTTTTTCTCTTACAATGCTGGTTTTGAGTTCATCAGAGCAATTTTTTTAAAAAAGTATTATTCACAAAATTTCTCTAAAGATCAGCTATAGTTCTGTTGAACATATGTCACTAGAACAGTATTATGAAAGATACAAAGTTTTTTTTTTTCATTTACAGCAGATTGTTGTTATACATTGAAAAAATATCTTGAGAAACCTACTTTTATTGTCTTCGTTTTCTTATTTTTTTTTTATGACACACTTACAGAATTGTGGGTGATGATGATGGAGGAAAGCTCTTTACCCCTGAGGAATATGAGGAGTACAAAAGAAAAGTATTACCAATTCGGTTACAGAACAGGTTGTATGTGAGCTGGAGATCACCAACTGGCATGGACTGTAAGCTTGTAGGTCCAGAGACGCGGTGCTTTTGTACTCACCGGTAGGTATTTTTTCTTTTTTCTTTTTTTTTTTCACTGTCGTATTTTTTTTAAATCAGGAAAATGTAAAATGTTTCCAGACACATTATAGATAGTACAGTATAGGGAAGTTAATTTAAGGGCTAAGGGTTGAGAAAATCAAGTTTTAAGTCATAAGAACTGTTCTTAAATCTAAATCTCAATACATTTTTTTGAGACCAAAATGATTTTGTAGTCTTTGGTAAATTCAGCTTTGAGGCACAAGTTATTGTAGATCAGATTGATTCTGATAGTGCTGTCAAAATGAAACATAAGGATCTGTGATATTTATGTAATGAATGGATGTAAAAGCACCTGATTCTATGCATATAACTGAAAATTAACGAATAATTAATATAAAGATACTTCAAAACAGAACTTGTGAGATAAATCATAAGCCTTTCAGTTAGTTTTCTGATAAAGCTCACAAAGTTTTAAAAGTTATTATTTTTGCCTGTTTTAGGTATAAACAACACAAAACGGACTATGAAGTGATTCCCAAAGAGCATCCTATTTGTGTGCCTTGTAGAGCGAGCCGTTGTCCGTGCCAGTCGTATCACTATGTCCCTGTAAATGGCACACAGCCCATCCGCTGTAGATGCAAACACTTTGCTGATCAGCACAGTGCAGCACCTGGATTTTCATGTACCTCTTGTAAGTTACTGATGGGCTTGAAGCAATCTTTGCTAGGGAACCTAACAGGAACAGCATGTTTGGGATCTGTATTCTGTCCAGAGCATTAGGTATGTGCTGCACTTGTTACTGATGTGTATTTTGGTTCTTGCAGGAGGATGGGAAATGGGAAGGAAGACATCACTTTTTGCAGAGGAGGGTTTAGAACAACATCTTTAGCTTCTTCAAGTCCTGTGAAGGAGCTAAGTTTCTGAATGATCTGGTTAGGTACATATGGAGGCAGCCCCTAAAGTTAGGCAGTATGAAAGCACCCCATTTGCAGTTTGTCACTTCCACTGCTGCATGCACATGACTTTCCTACTTGAACTTGGTAGTTTGAGAGAGAGAAGTGTTGACCTCCATTCTCTACTGCCTGGTTGAATATAACTTTAATGTATTTTTATATCTTTTCTCAACTCCATAGGAAGTAGAGCTCTGTTCCCAAATCGCGCTATTGTTAGCACTCTAACAAAGCGGTTCCCGAGCATACAGATTGCGGGTCCAGAAATGCAAATGGGAATGGAGTTTCAAGCAGAAGGTTTGAGAAGGCAATAAAAGGACGCTTTTTGCTTCAATTGTTCGAGGTTATCGTAACAAACCAGCAGTAATTATTAACCATAGAAAATAAATAATGCATAAAGATGTTTTAGTTTGAAATCTCAAATTACGTAAGCTGAAGATTTTTTTTGCTAAAGTACCATGCTGTTAGTAAATTTATTTCAGGAAGTCTGTCTAATTTGTACAGGAAAAATAATGAACAGCTTTTGCTGGATGAGAATCATATCCCACAGAACAAAACATAAAATATTTATATGACAGCCTTTCAAGAATTTACTCTAAGTAGCCTGAAAGTCTTAAACATGCAATTGGATGATTCAGACCAAATCCTTAGAACACAGTGTTTTTAATAATCGTTTACATTATGCACTTTTTCTAGTGTTTCTCAAAAATACCTGACACTTCTGAGGGCTTCACAGATTACACAGAGAAGTGCCAAGAGTTGCCTCTATTTTGGACGTGTGTGGTTTTAATGTACTGGCATTTGTCTAGCCCAATGTTGTATAAATCTGATGTGATAGATAAATTATAATTGAAAAAATACTGATGTTGCACTTCGTATATTGTATATACTTTATTCTGCATTCAAACGCAGAGTAAGAGCTCTATTACTGAGGAGTGCCCAAAATGATATGAAAAAGCCTTTAACGTTTCTAAGAATGTGATCCTTGAACATACTACACAAGCCTTAAAAAAAAAAAAAATATCTTTCTTGGTCCTCTGCAAAATGAACTGTAACTGGGAGTTGGAAGCAGGGTAATTTGTATAATGCAACATTTGCAAAATCAGTTCCTGAGTTTCTTGTTCACATCATTGTTCCAGCAGGGCTTTGATGACAGCTGTAGCTAAGGCAGATACATCACTTCACTTCGCTCTGTGTTTCTGAATGTCATGTCATTTCTATAACTATTTCAGTTACGTCCTGTGGCTATATAAGCTGAAAAAAACCCTGAAAGTCAGTCTAATGGTACTCTTAGCAGAACCCATTTTGCTGTTGCTACAGCCTCTGTTTACTATTGAGATAATTTTGCTAAATGTAGAAGGCATTTAACTTGCGATTCATATCATAAGTTGTGATTTTAAGTTTTCTGGCCATGCAGCATTGACACATGCTGTACACCTTTGGAGAAAATACTGCCAAAATGCTGGCAAGTTGTCATCTTTACCCAGTGACAGAATTTTTTTTCTTTCTGTTTTTTGTCGGGGAAGGGATAGAGAAGGGTGTCACTAATGGCAATGGACAAGAGTTGCAACATAGGAAATCCAGTTAGATATTAGGAAAGAAATGTCTGCTCCAAAGGAAGACCAGCATAGGTCCAGGCTGCTCAGAGGGGTGGAATCTATGCTTGGAGGTACTCAAAACTTGACTGAATGAGAGCCTGAGACTGGACGACCCCTATGACCTGATCCCCACATTCATCTTTTCTCCTGTTTTATACAACATTTTCATATACCTGGATGCTTTTACAGTGAAGGAACTCTAGTTTTTGACAAGATCAGTTTAGGGAAACACTGTTTTATCTGCAAACAAAGTATAAATTCCATTACCACCTCACTCATTACATTTATTTATTTGTTAATTAGGTTCCAAGTGTTCTGGCTTTCATAGTTGCTTTACCTGTGCGTGTGGTCAGCCGACATACGCTCACGAAACAGTTGTGGAAACTAAAAGTGAGTGCTTGGCCCAAGGAAAGCCTGTGGGGCAGGATGTTCCTTATGCTGCTATGGGAGGACTGACTGGTTTTAGTTCAGTAGCAGAAGGCTACATGAGGCTCGATGACAGTGGAATAGGTAAGTGCAGCTGACCTGAGATGAAATTTTAATTCTTTAACTAAGTAGTTTTGAAAAGTAGTGATTTAACACGCATTTTCAAAGTTCGAAGACAAACTGGATCGATAGGATTAGGATTTAAGAAATTTTTTTTTCCCAGCAGTCCTTAGGTGTGAAGAGATCACCGTGACTGTCTTGTCCAACTTCCTGTAGTGAATTCATAAAAAACCATTTTGTCAACAGTTCTGGTGTTCAGCCCAGTAGCTTCTGGTTGAAGGGGAGTATATCTGTTAGAAAGAACTCTGTAACTTCTGTTTTTCTCTTAGTACTTTCATGTTATATTTATGCTAATCCTTTATCCTAATGCTGCCCAGGTATTTCTCGGTTATACAGTTAAAGCAATTTTTTTTTTTTTCAAACTCCAAGGTTAGTAGCTGTTCAGCATTAAAAAAAAGAGGTCATTTGTAGAACTTTATTTTTGACAGGCATGTTGGCCTTGATACCCCTGCTGCTCTGTGATTTTGTGTCATTTGGTAATGGACACATTTTGTCCATTACTGTTTTATTTATTATTGCTTTGTACTCATTATTTCTTTTTAAAATTCTGATCTGGTTTCTTGGATTTGTCTGAAGTTTAGAAACTGTAGCATAGCCCTAGTAATTAAAGAAACAAAGTTTTTAATTTCTTTTGAAGCTATCCTCTGTAATGCTTTTGTTAACTTGAGTTTATGGGCTCTGCAGTGCGTGTTGTAGATATGAATCTGTAGCCTTGTTTTGACCTCATCGTGTATGTTCTTAATACAGCTCATGAAATTAATTTTTGTTTTCATTCAACGTATTTTCTAACAGGGGCTCCTTCTGCTGAACTTTTAGAATCCTCTGTTACCAGCATGGATCATCCATTTCTAAAAGCATTTCGAGGACCTTCTAGTTCTGCTCAAACCATCTCACAGATAGCAGGTGCTATATTAGTAGGATAATAATGTTTTAGAAAAAGTATTTAATATAAAATTAATTGGTTTTATTTATGAGTTGAAGAATGCTTAGGGCTGAAATCCAAGTAAAAAATTAAAATGAATATTGAAGCCTTGTTATGTGGAAAGTTAGTACAACATTCATGTACTTGAAGTGCTTAGAATAACTGTTCTGTTACTGCTTTTTAACTTCAATGATTTTTTTCTAGCATTTGGTATCTTCCCCATTAATGGTGTCACTTACTCATTGGATCAGTTTTTTAAATTTTTGATTCCTACTAGAAACTCATCATATCTGAATGGATTGTACAAATTCAGCACAATCCTGTGAAACTGCCTTCTGCCAGAAGGTCTTTTCTGCATGGAATTATGGATCAGTTATGCTTATTTGTTGTCCTCTATTTAGTATAAGAATTTAGCAATTAATATGACTGTTGAACTCCTCCAAGACTATTTATAATAGCTGCTATCCTAGACTAAAGAGGTTACTCTTTGGTCCCAGTTGCTGGGGTTTGTTACTTGGCTATAAAGTTGAGTTCTCATTTTAAATGTTTTTTGCCAAATGTAAAATGTAACTAAGGGAATAGCAAGTATTGTTAATGAAAAAGTTTTGTTGTTTTTTTTTTTTCTTTTCAGCTGGTTCTCGTGCCACAAGGCAAGTTTCTCATGGAAAGCATTCAGAAGGTGATGACATGGCCTACTTTGAAAAACGTTATCAAGAACGGGCAAGTTACTACACTTATTGCTTAATTTAAATATATTTTCACAAGAGGATGCCTAAAAAAGATAAATGTATGACTTAAGTGGCATATAAATGCATTATATCATTTGTTCTCTTCCTGAGAAAACACTGGCTTCTTAAAGTTCTATTGCAGGATTTCAGAGGTCAGTCATGTCTGGGATGGTATTTACCTTAATTGGGTAGATTTTTATTGAGGTAACTCTCCATTACGGAAAACCAAAATATTTTACTATGTGACAAAAAGAAACAGCAAAGCAGACTCACAGAAAGTCTCCTGAGACATTTATGAATGTGTGTTTGCTACCTCATTTATAAAACTTCATGATCTTCTTTTCCTTACAAATGTCTGTGTAGTTGGGCTAAGTCTGGGTGTCTTTCTTAGATGATCTGAATCACCCCCTTAGAGGTGCCTCCTCCACCCCACTGACTGTCTTAAATTTAAATGCTTTGTGGTGTAGGTTCCTTAGATGCTTAAATTCCTACTCTTTCCCCACTTTAGCTCCTTAGCTCCACCATCTCAGCTGGAAGTATGTCTTGGCTGTTTATGAATTCTTTTGTAAGGCAGTGTTGCATAATTAACTTTTAAAATCTCAACTGCTGTTACACTTGCTGCTTGCAACAAGGTGTTTGTTAATGAGAAAGCTGGTCTAGCTTTGTGACATTTTAAATAATTTTCTTTATTTTGGAAATCATCACAAAATATGGTAAGATGTTACAAATACAGTATCAGTTTATAGGAGAAAACATGTTACTATTAAATCCAAATTGCTACGTTTCTTTTCCCCCTCTAAAATTGTATTTTCTTTGCGAAAGGTAGTAGGAATTTCAGATACAAACCTCAAGCCTCCAGATATGGAAAAATGTTTTTAAATTACTTCCTGTCTAGACCGACAACAGGATTGCTTAGCAGTGAGTTCATTTGTAGACATCCAAATCAGGACTGGGGCCTTGATTCCTTTTGACACTATTTTATGGGGAAAAAAAGCATGTTAAAATATTGTTTTATTTCTTCTTGCATTTTTGATAGTGACATATCTTATGTTAGATGAGATGCAAAAGTCCGTGTATTCCTTTTATATAATTGCTCTAAATAGAATTTCATTCACTAATGTAACGATACTTGAGAACAGCTGTTGCTTCTAAAAACAACAGATATATTTGTTTGGATTAATAGTCTTCCTACAAAATGGCAGAGTTAAATGTATATGTGTTGGTAATTCATACCATGCTGTAAGAGCCTACTGTGTAGAAAATACCTTATGAGAGGAAGACATGACCTTGTGGGTCAGTGAGGAGACACTGAGGTGAAGGTTTAGCATCTACCTCAGCAACAAACTTCTTGTGTGATTTTGTGCGTGCTGGTTAGTTTAACTATGTCTGTTACACATCTGTAATAAAACTTCTTTAGCTTTTGTTGACATAAAGATAAACCCATGAACATTTGTGAGGCACGTTGGCCTTGAGGGATACATAAATACTTAGATTGCCATTATCAGAGATAAAGGCAGCCCTGGTTTGGATAGGGGAGCAGCTGCAGAGCTATCAAAGTGCTCCTTTGTCCTGTGATGTAAAAATGCTAGGTTGGGCTAATAATGATCTGTAGCTCTCCCCACTGCATATATCACTCTGGTAAATTTGTAGAGATTTAATACTGCGTTGCTAACCGACTTGCAAATTAATGCTTGCACCGCTATTGGTGTCTTTCTTTGTTACAGCTGAAAAAGGAAAAGGCTGCTAAACGGAAAGAGAAAAGTCCAGTGCCATCAAAGAAACCATGAGGTCAATAAAGAAATATTTATTATATGGCACAGTGTTGATCGTTGTATTGAAGAGTATTTTTCGCTGTACCTACCTGGATACTTGTATTTCTTCATTTCTTTATTCTGCTGTTTTGTTCTATTGCTGAAATTAATTTTTAATTATCTTGTAATAAAATTGGTACTTTAATCAATGTGTTTCTAATCTCCAGAATTGCTACATAAGATATTCCTTCGAGAATGGAAAATCATATTTAGAGATTTACAGAATCTGTAATTTAAGATCTGAGAGAATAACCATGTATTTAAGTATTACATTGTAGTAGGGCAAAGAAAATATATGTCTTATTCTTAGACTTTTATGACGCACTTTCTTTATTTGTAGAGTCCTTGGAACTCATCTTGTTCATGGATTTTTACTTGGTGGGATTTGTTCTGTTAATAGTGACATTTTAATATTTTCTTTAAACTGTTTTTTTTGTTTTCTTTCTGTTGTTTTCATTGGCTTTATATAAAATTCAAACATACCCTTCTTCTCTCATGCCTCTCTAGTCTCTGTTCTTGCCAATATATAAATATTTTTTACATGTGAAATTCTGTACGCTTGTAAACCCATTTCCACACATATTTACTAGCTACTTGAAGGGATCCTGCTTGTGTACTTTATCCCAGATTTCTGTAGCGGTACCATTCTTCTGACTCTCTTTGTCTGGCACTATCCATAACAATGATTCTATTACACTCAATTTCCGAAAACATTAAGTGGAAATTATTTATTGCATGTAAACAAATAATTATATAGTGTTTGATACAAACTTAAGTTATCCAACAGATTCTCCTTCATCATGTCTAATCCAACACAGACTGAGTCCCTCAAGAAGGGAGATGTGCTTTTGTATTCTCTGTCCATATTCACAGCTGTGGCAGCATGCGTTGTGTTAAAGGTAGGGGACTGGAAAATGTAAAATTTGGTAACTTTATGTGGTGCTTTAAATCTGTGAAGCAGCACAGCAAGAACTCAGTACAGAATAATTGGCAGAGGCTGCAGTTTAGGAGGCAGAAGCAGAGCCTGAGCTAACTTTGTCAGTCTCCTTTTAAAACAGAGGTATAAGCCAGTTTGTCCTTAAAAATACTTGAAGATGTCTTTTGGATTGAAGGCTTTTCGGGTGATATGTGTGTACTGAGACTTCAGAGCAAGAGTTGGGAGAAGCTTACAGAGCTCTGATTTCCCATCGGAGAGAATGCCTCTGTGTGCCTCATGCCTCCATGTGCCTGATCGGCAGGGGAGAAGAGCTAAGGTTGAAGGCATTTGGTGCAGGACAACTTGCTTTTTGGCTCAGCTGTCAGCTGTGGGAGGGAAGGAGAGTTCTTAGGAGTGCATGCAGGTCCTACGGTGACTGGTGGAGACGGCTGGGATCTGAGTGAGAAGGGAATGGAAGGCTCGACTGCCCAAATTCAAAGATTAAAAAAGGCCATTTACGTTAACTCTAACCTGTGCTGCCATTACTACCCATGCCAGAGACGTTACTCTTTTATTTTAATTTAAACGCATAATATATCAAAGTGTCTAATGAATCTTAAAGGTTCCTTTACATGCTACACTGTTACATACTGCTTTAATTTAATAAATAAAAATACTAATTTGAGCTCCCTCTTCTGGTCCTAAAAAGCAATCATTTCTACAGATCCTCCACTTGGTCTCGTAAGTAAATGGGGATCTCCCATTTCACAGAATTACAAGAAACAAACAAATGTAAATAACATTGGTAAAAAACAAAGGTAAATAAAAATATAGAAAAAATGTTTCAGTCTTCAGAGAGATTATTACAAGCTTAATAGCAGAAGTTTATTCTACTTTTGTCTTTATCCCTGTGGCTATACCATTAGGGAATGCAGTTCCAGAAATGTGTGTATTTCAGAGATGAGGTTTCTAACAGCAAAATATTGTTACAGACAGAGGTTTTAATAATTAGAAAAATGTTGTATTTTGTGTTTCTTTTTATACTGATAACTTTTTACTTTTAGGAAATAATGTGTTTTTATTGACATTTTGAGTTAAAAATACTTGTTGGTTTTAAATGTTTGCCAAATTCAGTCTTACTAAACTGTACTTTGATCATCATGAACTGGTTTTATCAAAGTCAATTTTAAAAAATTTTATTCTATGCTTAAACTTAGTTAACGTTTCCACTTAAAGGATACAAAAATGTTATTACATTTATTTAATTATTTCTTTTTGTTGGAAAACAGGTGGGATCATAAAAGTATCAACTGCATTAAATACTGCTTAGGAGTTCTGACCACTTTTCACCCATGTTGATGACATCCAAGTAAAAGAAACTCACTTTCCTTACTAGAAGGCATACTTTTGACTTCTTGGTATTCACATAGGACTTTCTTGCAGAATTTTTATTCATATCTATGCATGAAAAAAAAAACAAGTACAACATATGTCATAATGTTGCTGGCTGTGAAAACTGGACACTGATATCAAGTCTTAAGTGAAATTTGCACTTACCTGGATTTACTCTTATTTTTATCCTAAAAAAAAAATAATCAGCATTTTGTGGGATCAAAATTGCAACCTCCAATTCTATTCAACAATTGCTTTGTACTTCTACTAAAAAAGAGAATTTTTGTAAAGGTAAAAGCACAGACCAAATGCTAGTATGTTTGCCATTAACAGTGGTTGTTAAATAAAGAGCTCAGTTTAACATGTACTTGTTGATGGTTCATTTTCCTGAGAGCTGTTGTGAACTTTGAACGTAATATCACGGGACAGGTAAGTTACTGGTTCATCTGTATGGTTTATTTGTTAGGCGTATATCTGTTGTTCAGCTAGATGCCTTAACTCTTTCTGACTCTAATCCAAGGAATCTGGCCCAGGGGAAATGGTTTGCTGTCATACACACCAGTGCTCTGAGCTGTTAAAGCCTAATTGCATAGGTCTTGGGCAATGCTTAAGCACTTCTCATTTTTTAAATAGCTGGCTTTCAAAACAATGTTTTGCCATTATTATAACACTCCTAGAGTGTAGAACAGCATTTTTTCAGTAGTTTTAATCATCCTATGAAACGGCTTAGATGTAGCTTGGCTATTTATGATAGCAGAGACTGGTCAGTGATCCTAAATGGAAGGCGAGGGCCTCCTTCCCATTCTGTGGTTTTCCAATACTAAATCTAAAATGTGTCTGTCTGTCTCATGTTTGGGAGGATGGGGAATGTGATGTGTGAATTCACAGCCAGTAACGGCATTTGTGCAGAATTACTGTCAAGTTGTCAGTGTCTTTACAGCATGTTGTGCATATTAAATGGTTTGCAGGTCTCGTGTCTGTATGTCCCTGGAGTCTCTAGCACTGCTTTTGTTGTAGCCATGTGGCCTAAGAAAAGAGACAACTTAGCAGGTAGTGATAGTATTTTTTCTTATGCCAAATATAATGGAAAACAACAAAGGTTTTCCAGTCTAAAAGACCTTGCACAGGTGTACTTGTTTGGGTTTTTTTTGTAACAAAAGATACTACATCTGTCTAGAAGCCTACTCTTGCTTCGGATCCCTTGACATTTGTCTTCTGGCAGAGTAAATCGTTATTTGCTTTACGCTGGTTTTAGCTCTGATTTTACTTCCACTGTACCTGTGCCGGTCGGCCCCGGCTGGGCACTAAGCCCGCGTGCTCCTTCCATCACCTCCTGAGGGGAAGTCCCAGACCCAACCCTAACACGTCGCCTGTCTAACACTGGCACCCGTACCTCGCCAACAACTTCATCAATTTTCATTCTCCTATTAAAACAGGAAAGTTACAAACACACTGTGTGTGAAACCAAAAGATGAGCACTGACACGCCAGACGAGGGGAATCAGCTGGGCATGTTCAAAGGGTACACTGAGGCCAGCGGAGAGCCTCTCATCAACGCAGGAGCCTGCCTGCAGCTGCTCCGTTCCTGCCTCAAAACCAGGATCAGCATGCACTGATCGCCGCCCTTTTGTGTGGTGAAGGACGCATCTGGGCATACAATGATGCATTTGTAGGAAAAGCCTGGCGCCTACAAGCTTTGAAAAGCACCCGCTGCCCCTGCGCCGGGCAAGATCGCTCCGGCTGAGGCCGGG